TCCTCCCTCTCTCATCCTCCTTCACGCACCGGGTACACTAAGTGCGCTCTGCGGTCTGGGATTTGGACCTCAAAAATGACGACCCGCCTCCGACTTTCTCTCTCTCTCTCCCCCCCATGTCTACAAAAGCTAAAGGCGCAGCTCTGCAATTACCCTGCTCGTGCCACTGCTGGCGGAAGGGGCCTCCTCCACTGGATGGGGGGGTTGTCGAGAGAGAATTCTCTCGTCTCGTCGAGGACACTTTGACCCAACTCTGCCACGTGTGCCAGACGCCTCTGAACATTGTGGGGGGTACCCACACTTTATCCCACCGCCGTTGTGCTGTGCACACGATGACGCCTGCTGACTGACTCGCAAGGAGCTTTTAGTTCAGTTCATTTGTGAGGTATAGCCCTGTGAGCCATGCGGCTCTTGAATCGGGTGCAACAGCAACAAACACAAACGTGAACAAGAAAACATCTTAAAGTGACTCCACGCAACAGAACTGGTAGACTGGTAGAGGTCGCAGCCGTAGCGAGGGATATACTGGATGTGGTGTGCCGGGTGATGCCTGGATGGGGGTCACCCATCCAAGCGATCGCTCAGAGGTTTCAAATTCCTGCGCGGCTGCATGCAGGCCGGATGATTTGGGTCACGAGGTCATTTAATTACAGAATTTGTGAATGGGGGGGCGGGGGTTGGTGGGGAGACGGGAGAGGGGGAAGTGGGGGCGACAATCAGACCAGACTTCGAGGGGGGAGGGGTCACTGCTGGTTCTTGTTGTTGCTGCTGCTGTTGCAGTTCTCGGCGTGAGATGTGGAACACGAATAGAGGTGATGGAGCAGTGGTGTTTACATTCAAGGGCGGTGCCAGCCTAAGTGCCTGCCGGGTCGCGTAGTGTCTGTGGCTTGCGAAGCGTGGTTGCGCAATGCACGATCGTGCTATTGTGTGTGTGGGAGTGCTGGGAGCACACACGCACACAGACAAAGATCCCCCGTGTAGACTCAACAGACTGTTGGGGCAAGTGCTTGTTCGCGAGCACCTGTGCGGCTGGACAACACCATGCCCGGACGACTTTGTCTCTCTCGTGACAATGTTTATTTTTTTTACACATCGCACCAGGTACTCGTTTGAGGCTGAGGCGACCTAGACGAGGCCCAGAACCGGTTCAGATCGAACTCAGGTGACCGGGTTCGTAGCGCAGAGCGCTTGCTAACCGCTACTGCTCCCCCTACATTCCAGAGACAAGCCAACACACACACACAGGCTTACGTAACAACACACAGCACACGTGCACAAAGTGAGTGCACTGGATGTATCTATCAATACACACACACACCATACACACACACCATACACAACGTGAGAGTGCCAATATACACACACAATACACACACGCGCAACAGCGTCAAAAAATACACAAACACATTCCAACACACACGCAATTCCAAATGCACACCCAAGCACTAAACTATATCGGTGCACGCAAGCTCACCCAAGCACGCAGAGGCCCACGCCTCTTGAGCGAACACACACGCAGGGCTCACGCCCGACAAAGACAAAGATCCCCCGTGTAGCCTCCGACGGACTGTCGGGGCAAGTGCCGTTAGCGCGCAGCTAACGTGGGCAGGCGATGTTCACTTACGCAGCGCAAACAGGCGGTCATTTGAGGCTGAGTCGACCTAGAGGAGGCAACCAGGACCGGTTAATATATCATCGTCACTGGTGTTGGTGGCCGTGGGCGGGAATCGAACTCGGGTGGTCGGGTTCGTAGCTCGTGCCAGGCTAGGTGCACTTTGAGACCACGTGAAGCGTCGAAGGCTCGATGCTGGCAGGAGTTCACGGAACAGACCCGGGTGCCATGGGTTGACTGACTGAGATGACTGGCATATGCACACCAGCTGTACCCCCACACTGTGCCAACTCGCTGTTTTCTAGCGTCTTTCCTCCGCCCTCCGTCGTTGCCGGAGGGCGACTGCCTCCAACTGCCCAGCGGCAGCAGCAACGTCCCTCACGAGCCTCCTCCACAGAGGCCGATGTTGACACCGCTGGTACCGGTCATCGTGAAAGTCCACTCAGCTCCACGTCCTCCTGCGGCTGCATCAGCCCCGAATGTTCTCTATAGCCCGTGCCGCGCCCATGTAGCCCCTTCTATCCAGCCGAACAGAATCTGCTTGGGCGGCAATGCGGTGGCTGGGCATGGGGGCTCCATGACCCGGCGTTCCACTGATGGGAACGCGTCTCATCGGTGACTTGGTGATGGTTCTGTGAGATCATCGCTAAATCCAGCCTGGTTGAACACACTGCACGCACTTACACAATCGATACGTACGTGCCGAATACATACACCCCACATGCACACACGCACGTACGTATGTTGAACTTCTTTCGCACCGTACGTAGCCAAACCTCACACCCACACACCCGACACAGCAGCACATCCAGGCCTCTCTCCCTCCTCACCCAAACCACACCCGCGGCACTCCCAGCACCGCAGCCACCGGGGGGGGGGGGGGGGGTCCTCACTGCGCGTTCCGGGACTGTGGGGTGAGAAGTTTCCTCCTGTGGGAGACCTGGCAGTGCCCGTGTGTGTGTGTCTGTGAGGCTGTGTGTGTGTCTGTGAGGTTGTGTGTGTGTCTGTGAGGCTGTGTGTGTGTCTGTGGGGAGCGATAGTGTAGCGGTTAGCGCGCTGCGCTATGAACCCGGCGACCCGAGTTCGATTCCCGCTCACGGCTAACACCAGTGACGATTATCTGAACCGGTCCTGGGCCTCCCCTAGGTCGACTCAGCCTTAAATGAGTACCTGGTGCGATGTGTAAACATCGCCGCTAGGGAGACAAAGGCGGCCGGGCGTGGTGTTGGCCACCCACCCCCTCGTGTGCCGTGCCGACCTTCATAGGTGCTCGCTAACAGCACTTGCCCCAACAGTCTGTCAAGGCTATACGGGGGATCTTTGTCTTTGTGTGTTTGTTGTGCTGTCGGGCAGTCAGTCAGGAGTTGCGTCTGTCCGGCCTGTGAGGCTGCTAACACATTCCTGCGGAGGGAGCTGGTAGGAACGTTGCGTTGCTCCGTCAATGGCCAGGGTCAACGGCGGCGTGGTGTATTCCGCAAATATGCCTGACTGTGAGGGCGGGCACAAGCCGGCGTGAGTAGGTTAAACGTTGAGTTTTATAAGGGCACCACGGGGTGACCAGCCCCTCCCCACCCAGCTCCTCCCCACCCAACCCCACCCCACCCAGCCCCTCCCCACCGTCCCCTCTCCACCCAGCCACACTCCTCCCATTTTTGGATGCACGACGGACGGACGGACACACTAATCCCCTGTGGGCTGCTGTAACCAGGAGGTTCCTACCAGTATAGTCAGGCCGTGTCGCTGTCTGTCGGGCTGACTCATCAGGCAGACACGTCTGCCCTGAGTTGCGATGCCAGTCGCTCCGCGTGACTGATGTGAGTCGTCCGCACGCGTCCCCGTGATCTCAGTGGAGCCGCGGGGACTCAGTGGGGAGACACGAGGGGGGGTCGGGGCAGTGCCGGATGAAGCGAGTGCGGGGCCTGGAGCATAAAGGGGCCCTAAATTCAAAAAAACGTAAATATGAAAACACAAACTTTTCACTTGCATAGTAAAGTAATTATATGTTTTACTTGTTATACAGCCAGATAATACGACAGATCGCTAACCTTAAACACCCAGTCGTTCATATTCTTAGGTCACGTAGGTAAAACATTAAAATTAATAAAAGTAATATAAAAATAAAATTCATAAAAGTTGAAGGCGGTATAGCCCTATAGTAATAGAGCAAGTGCAGAATCACTGAACCGGAATTGATAGCTTGAAATCATTTAGCGCGGGGGCCCTTGAAAGTGCGGGGCCCGTAGCATTTGTAGCTGCTGCTCATGTTACTGGGATAATCCGCCACTGGGTCGGGGAGACATCGAGAGAGACACTGGGAGTCACGGGGGGGCGACACGGGGGGGGGGGCGACACGGGGGGGGGGGGCGACACGGGGGGGGGGCGACACGGGGGGGGGGGGCGACACGGGGGGGGGGGGCGACACGGGGGGGGGGTGCGACACGGGTTGCACGCGATGATGTCTCCCCACCGCAATGTCACGTGACGTTCCTCACCGCTTCTTCCCCTGTGGCGGGGGAGACTGCTGTTGTTGAACATCACGCGAGAGGCGGGGGTGGCACTGGGTGGAGGGAGGAAGGGAGGAGACGGGGGAGGGAGGGGGCAGTGGGAAGTTAAATCTACAAGGATGCAGAGTTGGAGTGATGGACAGATCCGACGGAGGCGAGAAATGGACGCGGGTGGAAACAGCCCCCGTAACGTGACCTCATTTAAAGGGCGGGGGAGGGTTTGACAGTCAATGTTAAACTCACTTTCAAGAAATGTTGGAGGGAGCGATGGGAGGGAGAGATGGGAGCGAGGGAGGGATGGAGGGAGCTGATGATCGTGAGAGCTTGTGGACGATGCCGTTTGTGTTTGCTTCGTTGCTGCCACTGTTGGTGTTGTTTTGATTGTCATGTTGGTGAACCAGGTCGCTGTCACAAATTCGACTCTCTCTTGAGTTCTCTCCCTGGTTAAACAAATAAAGTCGACGATGATGATGATTGTGGTGATTGCTGGATGATGACTAGATGTGACGAGTAATATACATGATCATTATTATGATTGTGCGAATACAAATGATTAACAATCGGATTAAAAGTGTGTTTGTTTCATAACAAAAAAAGAGAGATGGGAGCGAGGGAGGGGTGGGAGGGAGAGACGGGATTGAGGGAGGGATGGAAGGAAAGTTGGGAGCGAGGGAGGGGTGGAGGGAGAGACGGGAGCGAGGGAGGGGTGGAGGAGGAAGAGTTGAAGAGATGGAGTGAAGGAAGAGCAGGAGACGAGGAGGAGGGATGATTTATGGGGTGAGGTAAGGAGGCGGTGTTGTTGTGGCTGCTAGCACCTCCCCTAGGAGCATCATCATCAGCAGCAGCAGCTGTAGCAACAACAACAGTAGCAGCAGCAGCATCAGCGCGTGGCTCCTCCTTACCGAGGCTCCGCTCTGCTCGGCGCCGATTGGCCGAGCCGGCGGGAGATTATCGCCTCTATATCCGAGGCTCTCGAATCCTCGTCTCGCACTCTCTCGCAGCCGCAGCGCGGCGTGAGAGCCACGACTTCGAGAGGATTTTGGAGTTTCATTCATTCATTCGTCGAGAGCCGCAGCGGTTTTTAAGTGCAGCAGTTTTTTTCGGCGAGACGGCTTCCGATATTGTTGCTGTGGAGTCCTGAGATCATCAGTGTGAGATTTGAAGTTCATCGCCGTGAGAACACACATTCTCCGCCGGCAGGTTGCCACAGACAAGACAGCATGACCCACAGATTCCCTCCCATCATTGTCAACAACAACAACATCGGCCACATCATCAACAACAGCAGCAGCAGCAGAATCTCGCTCTGGGGAGAGGCACCGCGAAGAATTGGAGAGATGTCTCTCAGGTCGCTGGAGACATCCCTCTCCTCGCGACGGCTACGCAACAACAGCGGTGGCAGCAGCAGCAGCAGCGGCACGGAAGACGACCACAGCAACGGCAACACCGACCAGCAGTGGAGAAGCAACGCGCTCGGGTCACCCACCGCGCTGCGGTTCCGATCTGACAATGTCCTCATCAACTCCATCATCAACAACAGCAACAGGGCCACCGAGGCAGACGGGACTCGGAGGAGATCGCCCGCGGTGGGAGTCTGCCCCGATCCCGTCGACGGGGACCACGCGGTCCCCTCACCGACCCCCTCGCCGTCCCCCGAGCCGATGCTGTGGTCCCCGTTCTCGCCCGAGGCGTGCCCCTCTCGCCGCTCGCTGCAGCCCGCGACGCCCCCCGATTGGCCGCCGAGTGGCTGGAGTCCTCCTGCGATGCCGCGTTCGGAGCGCCCAGGTGACCTACGTGGCCTCGGTGGCCCACGTGGCCCAGGTAGCCCACGTGACCCAGGTAGCCCACGTGGCCTCGGTGGCCTCGGTAGCCCAGGTGGGCCACGTGGCCCACGTGGGCCAGGCCTCATCGTCGTCCCATCGCCCCCGGGGTCTCCACGCGCGTCCGCCGCGCCTCGCAAGAGCCCCCCCGCGGGGGGCAACGCGAATATCGTGGACACGGACAGGACCGCGGACAGGACCATGGACAGGACCACGCTGTCCATGCTGCTGCTCTTTCACAAGTGAGTGGCGCGGGGGGCTGTCGCCCTCTTGCATTGTTGGGGGGGGCTTGGAATTGAAGGGGGGAATTGGAGTGGGGGGGGGGTTATTTGGAGGGGGGACTTGGAGGGGGGGAATTAGGGGGGGGGACTTGGAGGGGGGGGGACTTGGAGGGGGGGGGGAATTGGAATTGGAGTGGGGACTTGGAGGGGGGGGGAGTTGGAGAGGGGGAATTGGAGTGGGGACTTGGAGGGGGGGGGGGGGGAGTTGGAGAGGGGGGGGGGGTTACTTAGGAGGTTTTATTTGGAGGGGGGGGTGATGTTGGGTGGTGGTGCAGGCCCCCCCCCCCCATCCCTGCAGCCCTCGAGTGGTGCCGCCTGCCCTGCCGTGACCTCCCGTCACCCTTGGCAGTGCTGGGCCCGGGACGCGGTGTCCAACTCAGGCCGGCGTCTTTGACGGACGCCTGCAGAGGCCCGGGCAGCAACCAAACACACGACATAAATAAGAAGCTAAAGTCGCGTTTGTCAATATTGTTGTTCTCGGTTGAACTGCGACTCGGCGGACGGAGGTGGCTGCGCGCCGCACGCGCCTGATGATTGTTGAAACGCGCCAGGGAGCGGTGACGGACGGGAAGTTGTGTGAACAACGTGTGTGTGTGTACCACGTGTGTGTGTGTGTACCACGTGTGTGTGTGTGTACCACGTGTGTGTGTGTACCACTTGTGTGTGTGTGTGTATCCGTGTGTACCGTGTGTGTGTGTACCACGTGTGTGTGTGTACAACGTGTGTGTGTATCCGTGTGTATCCGTGTGTGTGTGTACCACGTGTGTATGTACCACGTGTGTCCGTGTGTACCGTGTGTGTGTGTGTATCCGTGTGTACCGTGTGTGTGTGTACCGCGTGCGTGTGTGTACTACACATCCGATTAGCACGGTTGACTACGTACGGTACGAAAGAAGTTCAGCATCCATACAAGTGTATATGTGGGGAGCGGTGGCACAGTGGTTAGCGCACTTTGTTACGAACCCGATCACCCGAGTTCGATTCCCGATCACGATCAAATAACAGTGGCGAATTTGAACCGGTCCTGGACCTCCCCTAGATTGACTCGGCCTTAAAAGGTGGTCGGGCGTGGTGCTGGCCACTCACACCTGTGCCGGCCTTCATAGGTGTTCTTGACCCAAACGTCTGTAAAGGCTATACGGGGGATCTTTGTCTTTGTGAGTGAGGTGTGTTGTATTGTTTGGGGGTGCGACATCCAGGACAGGCAACAGTACGGTGCGAAAGAAAGTTCAACATACATCCAATGCAGCCCTGAGCAATCCACTGTTGAATTGATCCGATCTGGACGCACGCCAATTGAGATACGACAGCTCCCCAGACACGTGACACACAGCACACGGATCATCAGCACACACCACACACACCCCACACACCCCACACACACACATAAATACACAAAGACAAAGATCCCCCGTATAGCCTTACCAGACTGTTGGGGCAAGTGCTGTTAGCGAGCACCTACGAAGGCTGGAACGGCACACGAGGGGGTGGTTGGTCAGAACCACGCCCGGCCGCCTTTGTCTCCCTAGTGGCAATGTTTTTACACATCGCATCAGGTACTCATTTAAGGCTCAGTCAACCTAGGGGAGGAGGCCCAGGACCGGTTCAGATCATCGTCACTGGTGTTGGCCGTGAGCGGGAATCGAACTCGGGTCGCCGGGTTCGTAGCGCAGCGCGCTAACCGCCACACCACCGCTTCCCACGCACAGACACATACAGACACACACAGACACACACACATACAGACACAATGACAGCCATCACAATCTCACAGACACCATCACACACAACACTCACGCACACAGATACATCTCACACACTCGCATATACATCACAATTATCACACACACATACTTGACACACAACATATGACACACTTAACACACAGATACAACAACAACACCCGACATTCGCCACTAAGTGGCGGTGACGTCACCACGGCGCTCGTGCCAGGCTAGGTGCACATTGAGGCCACGTGAAGTGTCGAACGCCCGCTGGCAGAAGGTCATGGGGCAGACCCAGGTGCCACGGGTCGACTGACCGAGATGAGTGGCTGATGCACCACCTGTGCCCCCTACTGTGCCAACTTGCTGTGCTTTAGCCGCCCGACGCTCCGCTCGTTGTTGTGAGCGTCGCTCCGCTCGTTGTTGTGAGCGTCGCTCCTCCGAACCTCCGTTGTTGCTGGAGGGCGACTGCCTCCAGCTGCCCAGTAGCAGCAGCAGCGTTCTTCACGATCCTCCTCCAGAGACACACAATCACATTCCCACAGGCACACAAATACACACACACACGGTTGCCACCATCTCAGAGACAGACACCCACACACATCCCTGACACACAACAGCTGATCCCCCCCCCCCCCCGCATACAGCCACACACCTCACACACACACAGACACACACCTCACACACACACCTCACACACACATCTGACACACACAGACACAAACCTCACACACACACCTCACACACACACACACCTCACACACCTCACACACACAGACCTCACACACCTCACACACGCAGACACACACCTCACACACACACAGACACACACCTCACACACACACAGATACACACACAGACACACACAGACACACACACAGACACACACACACAGACACACACACAGACACACACACACACAGACACACACAGATACACACACACGGTTACCACCATCTCACAGACAGACAGACATGCACACACATCCCTGACACACAACAGCTGATCCCCCCCACACACACAGACACACACACAGACACACACCTCACACACACAGACACACACCTCACACACAGACACACATACAGACACACACAGACACACACACACCTCACACACACACAGACACACACACAGACACACACACAAACACACACACACCTCACACACACAGACACACACACAGACATACACACAGACACATACAGACACACACACACAGACACACACACAGACAGACACACAGACAGACACACACACAGACACACACCTCGCGCGTGCCAAGCCACAAACTCGAGCTCGCGTGACCCGCAGCCCAGACGCGGGCGTGAACTTGGCAGATTTCCTCCGCTGATGTTGGCATCGCAGCCGCCCCACGTTATATAACCTGGGGGCCGTGCACGCAGGACACGCACACACAACACAGAGACACAATACAACACAACTAGTGCACACACAACACAGAGACACAATAAACACACACAACTAGTGCACACACACACACAACACAGAGACACAATAAACACAACTAGGGCACGTCACACACAGCATACATCATCATAACACTCATCACACACACATCACAAATATCACAGATCTAGAGCACGCACACACAACACAGAGACACAATAAACACACAACCAGTGCACACACACACAACACAGAGACACAATAAACACACAACCAGTGCACACACAACACAGAGACACAATAAAACACAACCAGTGCACACACAACACAGAGACACAATAAACACACACAACCAGTGCACACACAACACAGAGACACAATAAAAACACAACTAGTGCACACACAACACAGAGACACAATAAACACACAACCAGTACACACACAACACAGAGACACAATAAACACACACAACCAGTGCACACACAACACAGAGACACAATAAAACACACACAACTAGTACACACACAACACAGAGACACAATAAAAACAACTAGTGCACACACAACACAGAGACACAATAAAACACACAACCAGTGCACGCACACACAACACAGAGACACAATAAACACACACAACCAGTGCACACACAACACAGAGACACAATAAAACACACAACTAGTGCACACACAACACAGAGACACAATAAACACACAACTAGTACACACACAACACAGAGACACAATAAACACACAACCAGTGCACACACAACACAGAGACACAATAAACACACACAACTAGTGCACACACAACACAGAGACACAATAAACACACAACCAGTGCACACACAACACATATACACAATAAACACACACAACTAGTGCACACACATACAACACAGAGACACAATAAACACACACAACTAGTGCACACACATACAACACAGAGACACAATAAACACAACTAGGGCACGTCACACACAGCATACATCATCATAACACCACACATCACCTTACACACACACCTCACACACATATCTCACACACACCTCACACACACACACACACCTCTCACACACCACTCACACCTATCACTCACAACACACACACACCTCACACACCTCACACACCCACCTCACACACACACACCTCACACACACACCACACACACACACCTCACACACCACACACACACACCTCACACACACCTCACACACACACCTCACACACACACCACACACACACCTCACACACCACACACCACACACCACACACACCACACACACACACACCTCACACACCACACACACACCTCACACACACCACACACCACACCTCACACACACACACACACACCACACACACACCTCACACACACACCACACACACACACACACCACACACCACACACACACCACACACACCACACACACCACACACACACACACACCACACACACACCTCACACACACCTCACACACACCCACCCACACACCTCACACACACCTCACACACACACCTCACACACACCACACACACACCTCACACACCACACACACCACACACACACCACACACACACACACCTCACACCACAACACACACACCTCACACACACCACACACACACCACACACACACCACACACACACCACACACACCACACACACACACCTCACACACACCTCACACACACACCACACACACACCTCACACACACCTCACACACACACCTCACACACACACCACACACACACCTCACACACCACACACACACCACACACACACACACACACACACACCTCACACCACAACACACACACCTCACACACA